TGGATTCTACTTAGGTACATGAAACCCAATCCACACACCAAAAGAACCTTACCTTCTCCAACTTAACAAAACAATAATTTAACGATGCATCAACTTTCTATTAACAAATTTTAATTTTAACATATTGAAAGAACTTATCTATAATTTTTAATACATTAAAACTAAAATTGAGAAATTTAAAAGATTACGGACCTAAGAATTTAAAAAAAAATTAGGAAATATATTAGCGATGGTGTGTGTATATATAGAAGCAAACTCTTTTGCATCAGAAAAAGACATTTTTTTTCTTAAAATAAAAAAATATGTTTTAAATATTACTATACACTACATATCTAAGAGATTTTTAAAAGTTTATAGGTTGGAATGGTTGAAATGGGGGTGCCCAAATAATAGAGATCTCCTCAAACCCTAGCTACCCAATTCAATGCATTCACATGTCACTTAAAACTTTTTTTTGTCTCTTTCAAATTGTGTTGCTGGCTCATCAATGGGACAATCCTTTCAAATCCCAAAAAAAAAAAAAAAAAGGAAGAAGAAAAAAATCACATCTTTATCTCTTTGGGGACCAAAAGGGAAAAAATTAGGTGTTTTGATTTTGGGAATCCAAAAAGGTGTAATAATAATAGTTTTGAGGAAAGATAGTACTAACAATTGAAGTTGAAACAATTTGAAGCGAGTGTAGTTTAGATTTAATTTGTCAATTGGGATATATCTCAAAAGTGAGTTCTTTATACTTATGTTTTATATGTTAAAATGCTAGTTTTGTTCCGGTACTTTCAGTTTTGATTCATTTTAGTCTTTGTACTTTGAAAATGTTCATTTTAGTTCCTGTACTTTTAAAAAAGACCATTTTAGTCTCTTCATTTATTCTAAATCTACTTTGAACACCACATTACAATCAATATATTTTTTAAAATGTAAACATTACTTTATACTAAATATTTTTCGTTATTTGTAAAATTTGTGTTAAAACTTGCTTCAACCCATATTCCCCAAAAAGTGGATCCTGTGGGGGGTGGGATCACATTCACTTGCTTGCCGCCTGGCCCCACCCTTCCATCCTTTTGAAGACGTAGTCTTCTTATTGAGACTCAAACTTGGCTCTCTCTCGTGGAGAGGGACTAAAATGATCATTTTTTAAAAATACAAAAATCAAAATGAACATTTTTAAAGCACACGACTAAAATGAACCAAAGTCAAAAGTATCGGCCGAAACTCTTTTTTCTYGAAACCAGAGGACGAGCAGCGGTACCAGGGTGATGAGCTTGAGGATCCGGCGTCTCAGGGGACGAAGGAGTCTCGACGAGGTGTCGGGGGGACTTGCTTGTGCGCTTCTAACGAAGATACCTCAGCGAGATCCTTCGCATTGTTTGGGAAAGTCAAGAGAGCTTTAAGTGTGTCCGAGGATTTGTCATCCGATCCGGATACACTCCAAATTCGAAAGGATAAGGCACCAGCCCAAGTTGGAAACTAAGTCGACGCGAAGAAGCCAACGAGATCGATGATAGAGTATATATATTTGAATAAGTGAGAGATCAAAGTAAACATTTTCAAAGTGTATGTACAAATGAACCAAACCTAAAAATACAGTAACAAAACAGTATTTTAACTCATCTTTTATTAGTATAAATACATTATTGTAGCATTTCTAGGTTAAATACAATTATGAGATAAGACTTTCCAGTTCTTTTTTTGTTCGCTCGATATTTTAATATATTTTCTTAGAAAACTTTCATTACTCGGGAATTTATTCATAAACAATGCGTGTATACTTGTTTGATCTTTTTTATTTCCGGTAATTTGAATTGTGTAGTGTACGTTTTTGTTTAATTAATTATACTATTAATACAATTTTAATAAAACACTTGTTTTTTTTTAAATTTTAATCTTCCTTTGAATATTTCTTTTTGTTGGTGAAAAAGTACGACCTACCATGGTGAGGTAAAAATAGATCGTGTCGAGTTATGAGAAGGTAAAAATAGATCGTGTCGAGTTATGAGAAGACAATACCAGCTCAAAGATAAACATCGAGCTATTAACCTCATCTATAAGTTAAGGTGAATAGTTAATCCTGGTCACAGTCAACCTTAATGTTGGAGGTAAAAATACGACTTGATACGTGAAAAGTAGAAAAATGTCATTCTAGTGATTCTTTTCTGCTTACCTTGGGTCCTGGCCGACCTATTAAGCTCAACTAGAGCGGTATCAAATAGGTCAACTAAATCAAAGATAGTTTTGAAATAGTTAGGTGCTGAGGTATCGTGTCATGCCCAACAATATCTTTAATCGTATAACAAACTCTTCAAATGGTCGAACAAAAACGTCTCTTTCTCAACTTCTACAAATACCAATTCACTCTTGTACGCAGGTATGCAATTATGATTTCTTGTCCCAAAAGCATAGAACAAATTTTTACTAACTTGAGCGTTGGAGTGTTTGTCTTTTATATATTGACATTCTCCTTACATAATTGACTTTGCAATAGCTAGGCTATTTTGATTTTGTACGTACTGTCCACGTGATCAAATTTCGAAGTCTATTTTGGTTAAACGAATTTTATATATTTTAGTGTGATGATTTTGTTGTGAAATATTTTCTATCAATAGTTGTTTTAGAAGCCATGATATATTGTCTAGGTGTTGGTTTTTTTTTTTTGGTAGAATAATTTTTTTCCTTTCTTCAGAGGAGTCATATATCAATTACTTAAAGTAACATTAATATAAGAATATCTATAGACATGTTAGTAAAAAAAAAACTATAATAAAATTTTTTGGAATTATGGACAATTATTAATATGTATTGATATTTTTATAGTCAATAAGAAGAAACATGAAAAGCAAAAAGAAAGATTTGGTTTTGTAGCAAGGAGGGAGTATCCATGAAGAATAATATCACATATATATCAACAAACTCAAGTATTCATGAAATATCAATAAATATATGATGAAATATCAGTAAAATATTGCAAATATTTGTGTAACTAATGATCCACGATGAAACATCGTTATCCTATTACTATTTTTTTTTAATTCGTAAAAGATGAGTGGAGTAGTGGACATTTGAATCTCTACAATCTCGCATAAGAGATCACTTTATGTGTTAACCAGTTGAACTAGGCTCAAATCGACATTTCATATTTACTATTTCAACCAATAATGTTGCGCGATACCAATCTCATCAACATGTTAAAGTTAGGTCCAAGCCAATTGTCCATCAATTGAATTTCACCATATATATAATCCAATTTATGGAGGGTAGAAGTAATATCACTAGGTCTCTTTATTACTTTGTATTTAAGAGCCTTCTTAAGTTGGTAGGCTAATAAAATACACGAGTAATTAATTTCACACCCAACTAATTTTTTCAACTCCATGATTTCTTTTATCCTGAAATCTATGCATTACATTATTCATATATTCATATAATGTTGTCCAGAATATATATATATATATATATATATATATAATTTAAATAAATTGTTGTCAAACTCATATATTTTTCTTTTAGATCCTATCCAAAACCTTTCATACAAACCTTCTTAAGTTCGAACTCACGACCTCTGGGTTGGAGGTATATGTCAATTATCGTTGAACTATGCTCGTTTTGACGACTCTAATAACACTTATTAAAATAAAATATCTATTTATATATCTTCATATAGAAATATGATATTATCTATCATTTAGAATTAATCCGTATCATTTTATGTTTGGATTTTATTGGAAAATGAATTCATATTAATTAATTACTTACAAAGCTATAATATTCCTTATTTCTAACCATTGTAATATTGGACTTTTCATCCTACTCCTAAAATTTTATACATATATAATCACTTGATGAATTAGTCTCGGTCCTATTTTAGCGTTGTCAAATAAATTGAAAAGATGCCCATTAACAAAGTGCACTCAATTTAGAAGTGATTTAGAAAAATATATATTTGGTTTTTGTTTTCTGTATATTTTTCATTTCTATCTTTAGAAAAGCAAGTATTTTTAGTTTCCTGTTTTTTATTTCTCAAATTTCAAAAGATTCCTAAAATGATATAGGAAGATTCTAAACACAGAGTATACTTTTTTGCCTCATTTCATTTTTGTAATTACTTTTTTTTCTATTTTTTTAAAAAAAGGAAGAAAAAGTTAAAACAATGTTTGCTATGTTCACTGTTCAATATTGTTTGTTCAATAATAAATTTCTACCTACTACACAACAAATTTTCAACTTATAATTCTATTTTTAATTATTAAAGTTGAGTATAATTTTTATTTTCTTGAATCCAATTTTCAAACTTTATTATTATATTTATATTTGTTAAACAATATATAGAGATACTAGAAAGAGAAAGGCTACACATGAAGAGAGTGCAAAGAAGGGAAAAATGAGATTTTAAAGAATAGAACTCTATTAATTAAAAAAAAAATGCTTTCAAGGTAACTGAATAATTTTTCAACCATCGGGACTAAGTAAATTGTGAGGAGATAAGTTCAAACCCTACGATGTGAGCTACCTTAAGAATTGATTCTTATGCATTTTCTAACACCAAATGTAATACGGTCAACTAACATAGTCAACCAAATATTTTGAAAAGATACGAGTCAATTTATTAGGAAGTATGTGAGGAATTAACCTACAAAAAGGAGGCTATATGAAAGCATTTCAAATTAAGCGATATGGTAGAAACATCCTAATTACAAAAAGGGGAAGTCTTGAAGGACCAATTAGATGCTGAACAGCGAATCACGATCAGAGAATAAAATAGCTTTGAGGAACTAAATCAGACTAAATCGAAACTTTTAAAATTCAGTAGAAAGTTAAAATCTGCAATTTTCACATCTGCAATGCATTGCAATATTAGTCTGGTGGTCCAAGAGTAAGTCCCACCCTTTAACAATGGGAGCTTTTAGAAACAGACAATTAATATAACAGCAAAGCAAAATAGTGATTACCAAAGTCCTATAAATGAAGGACCATTCCCACTATTCCCAAAAGCACACATTGCCAGTGGTTTGAGCTGAAGAGAGGGTTTCCCCACATTCTCTCTCTCTCACATTTTCTTTGATTTCCCAATGGAGAAGGCTTCTCCTAGTTGTGCATTTTGGGCAACTTTAGGTCTAGTTTTTGTGCTTGTTGGTAGCTTGGTTTGTGAAGCAGAAGGGAGAGCATTCTTCGTGTTCGGAGACTCTCTCGTCGACAATGGGAACAATGACTACTTGCTCACGACCGCCCGAGCCGATAACTACCCTTACGGCATTGACTACCCGACTCGCAGACCCACCGGCCGATTCTCCAATGGATTTAACATACCCGATCTCATCAGTTAGTTTTCTTTTTCTTTTATGCTCTTTTAGGCATAAAGGAGTGAAGTGATTTGTAATGTAATTATGTGGGGTTGTTTTTCAGGTCAGGCAATGGGGTCTCCATCTACATTGCCCTATTTGAGCCCTCAACTCAATGGAGAAAATCTTCTTGTTGGGGCCAACTTTGCCTCTGCTGGAATTGGGATTCTCAATGACACTGGAATTCAGTTTGTAAGTTGAATATATTCTAACCCCACCAAAAAAGAGTTTTTTTTTTTTGGTTTTTTTTTTTTGTAACAATTTGGTTGCGTCTCTCCAAATGTCTCTGTCGTTGTTAACAATTTTCTAACGTAATACATTTTCTTTGAACATGACAGAAAGAAAAGATAGTGCTCGCCGTGAAAGTCAAATTCGTCAATTGTATTAGCGTTTAAATAATTAAGTAGGGTCTTCAAACAAAGAGGAGATGAATCCGTATTGAAATATCTATATATGAATTAAATTTACCATCCATCCGCTTAAGCTTTTGAGTTGAGTAGTGGTTTTTTCATTCTTAATATGGTATCAGAGAGCTTGTAATTTTTTTTCTTCCCCAATTTCTAATACTCCTCCTGCCATCGCCAATGCCATCTCTAATGAATTTTCCCAGAGTCCTTGTACTAATTTTTTTTTTCTAATTCTTGCACATCTTCAAAAATAATCTTAATCTTCCTAGAATATATCTACCATTTTTTTTTTCGCTTTGCAACGGCGAAAGAAAAGCTCATGTCATCTAAGAAAACCGTAAACATTTGGTAACTAGGACATTGACATTATGGAAGATTCAACCAAACTATAGGACTACAGATCGAAGTTGTTAAAATCATAAGGACCAAATAGTAACTATACCGAAAGCCGAAAGGGTTAGAAGATGCATATGTTTAGTTATGTGTGTTTTGATTGTGTGCAGTTGAACATCATCAGAATCTCGCAGCAGTTGCAATATTTCCAGCAATACCAAAGACGAGTGAGTGCTTTAATTGGCGAAGAAGAAACAACAAGGCTGGTGAATGAGGCATTGGTCCTCATAACGCTCGGAGGCAATGACTTTGTAAACAACTATTATTTGGTCCCGGTGTCTGCTCGTTCTCGCCAGTTCTCTCTCCCCGACTACGTCATCTATCTCATCTCCGAGTATCGCAAAATCTTAGCGGTAACACACTCGTCCTATCTCTCAAAAAAAGTCTCTTTTCTCGCTCTCTCGACCGAGCAAAGTTGCAAAGTTAGTGAAGTTTTTGTTAATTATGTATTTTAAAAAAGTTATAAAATATTAAATATATCATAATCTACGGGCTTAAATGGATAGATTTAGTGATAGTTTAATATGGTATTAGAGTAAGAAATTGGTGTTTAAACTTGTATTATATTTTCTTCCTCACTTTTTGCATATGTACTAATTAATTTCCAAACCCACTGTCAAGTCTCGTAACATTTAACTAATTTTGATTAAGTGTTTGTTAAACTAGTTTTTAACAAGAAGAGCAATTTGTCATAATTATCCAATCCAATCAAATCTTAATTGCCCCACTTAATAATATTAATTTTCTTTTGAAGAAACAAAAATGCATACATATATAAATACTCTATTTTACACTTTCTATTCCCTCTTTTTTAATTAAAAAAAAAAAGTCTTAAATTATTCTTTCCCTACAAAGACTTTCATACACCTACCAATTATATCCCTATCTTCCACGGATTTTAATTTTGTCTTAGCACTTGAATTTATGAACTCTAAAGAAAGGTTTCCAACATTAATTAATAATAAACTTGACATAAATTTGATGTAACGAGAGTTGATTCAATTTTAAATGGCCACATGGATAAAATTAAGCTTTTTTTTTCTTAAATTGGAGGAACTAATTTTTTGTTGAGCATTTAAGAAAATAGGATATTTTGTTGGGAGAGTGGGTAATAGCATTAATGGGAAAAATAAAAGAGTGTGTTATGATTTAATGAGTGAGAGGGTAAAAGGCAATGCATAGGGCCCTCTTTGGTTGGTGTCTCTAATTAAAACTCCAAGTTATTGTTTGGCCTTTTTCATAAATGCCTTCGCCTGATTTCTCAACATAAATTATAGACAACCCTCGACATTATTTTTTCTCTCTCTCTCTCTACCAATAAATGCTTTAATGTTTTGAGAAAAAAAAAAACAAACAATAAATGCTTCATCTTGTATTAAATTTCATGAAAATTTATATTTTCGGTGGTTGGAGTTTCAAAATCAACATTTTTAGTTCACAAAATAATCTTTCTTTTTTCTTTTTTGGAAAGAGAATACCATTTCGGGAAGTACCTTTCTATATTGAAAATTAGAAAGACGGAAATTAGAGATGAATTTCCTACCGTCAACATTGAGATTTTTTTTTTTTAAAGATAACAATCATTTCGTTAAAGAGTATATGTGAGAAAAATATAAAGGGAAGCTAAATGAGAGCACCCTAGTAGAGCAAAATGGAAGAAGTAACGAAAATACAAAATGGAGACTAAGTGGAAGTACCCAATTAAACGAAACCGTCGTCGTAATTGCAAAAAATGTGAGACATAGAAAAGACGAATTCGAGACTGTGATTTTGATGGGACAAAACTATTGATTAGCACCCATATAAAAGAAACGTTTGGATTTCTAAACTTAAACAAATTAGAAAATGATGTTTTTTTTTTCTTTTCTAAGTTTTCTAACCAATTTGAACTTCCAACTTTTTGATAGATTCTTAACCAATTGAATTTAGAAGGATAAAAATGATGGATCGTTGATTTTGGTTATGATCACAGAGGATATACGAGTTGGGAGCTCGGCGGGTGCTGGTGACGGGGACCGGGCCGCTAGGGTGCGTGCCAGCGGAGTTGGCCATGAGAGGTAGAAACGGCGAGTGCGCGGTGGAGCTGCAGCGAGCTGCGGCCTTGTTCAACCCTCAGCTCGTCCAGCTCATCAATGAACTCAACTCTGAAATTGGCTCTAATGTCTTCATTGCTGCCAATACTCAAATGATGCACATGGACTTCGTCAGTAATCCTCAAGCCTACGGTACTCTCTCTCCCTCTCTCTCCAATACTTTAAATTTTGCCTTCCCTGAACCCTAATTTTACCTTCACGTATTAAGGATCCCACGTTAAAAAAGATAAGATATCTAATAAGGGTTTATAATAGACATGAACTATTTCTCTTAATGTTAATTAATTTTAAGATGGAATCTCATAAATATTGAAACGATCTCAGAGTCAACAAGCTCAAACGAGCATCCGGTCCAAAAATGGAATCCGACCAAGATCGATGAGCCAAAAGAGTCCCGATTTTGAAATGGCAAAGACCTAACAAAGTTTTATAATAGACATAGATTACTTCTCTCATTGCGAATTGATTTTTGAAATGGAACCATGAACATTGATAGCCTTGACAGTACACAGACTATCTTAACCGGGTGTGGTGTTTTGATTTTGGATAGGATTCGTAACTTCGAAGATAGCGTGCTGTGGCCAAGGGCCCTTCAATGGAATAGGACTGTGCACTCCAGCCTCAAACTTGTGCCCTAACAGAAACCTGTATGCATTTTGGGATCCATTCCACCCCTCAGAGAGAGCCAACAGACTGATTGTGAACCAGATCCTCACAGGCACCACCCAGTACATGCACCCTATGAACCTCAGCACCATTTTGGCTATGGACTCTAGGACCTGACCAAAAATCTGCCCACATATATGCCCTCTTCTTTATATCAATTACTTTACTTAATTACTTATCCTTGATTTGATTTTATCAATATTATTATTGGTTCTAATTAAGTGTTGAGTTGTTACTTTTGTTTTGTCCTCTGTTGATGTGATGTAGGTGGTTTTAGTTTAGTTACGTTGATTATTGTTTGATGAGAGAAGAGCTCCTCCATGATCTGTATTTGGATTGAAATTATTCCCTACTCTTCACAATCCAATAAAACTATATTTTTGTTTATGTATCAATCATGATTATTATTGTTTATTTCTACATCGGTGAGTAGAAGCTCTCGTCCTATAAAGTTTAGTAGAATCTATGCATTTAAATACGATGATAGAAGAGAGCACATGGCTCAACATTCTCTCAAGGTCGGAGGTTCGATCCTCATATCTCTAAATTATTGTACTAAAAAAAAGAATATCCCAATAAATCATGACCATAAGAACAAAGATCGAGAGAGATTAAGAAGAACACAGAACCAAAGATTATAATGGTTGAATTCAAAAGTCCATATCTGAAAGACTAAAAGTGAGATTCCATCTACGGAAAGACTGTGAATAAAAATTCCTAGGGACGATACATCGAAACGAAAATCGTATCAGTTTGAGAGTAAGCTATTTAATAACATGTCGAAATAACATTATTAAAATTAGTGGAAGATCATGAGAGATTATAAATAGGGAATGTGTATTAATTATGTATTGAATTGTTGGAGGAGAGAGTGAAGATTTTCAAGTGTCAATGGCTTCATCAAGCAATGGTCGAGACCAGCCTCCATAAAGGCAGCCTTCTCACAGCTAATTGCTCCATTCGCTGTCACTCCAACAATCTTGCTTTCAACTCCCATTCTTCTCAGCTCCTTCGTTGCCTTTCAAATTATTAAAGCTGATTTCTCAATTCAGAATGAACTGACCTAAAAAAACACATTCGGTTCCTGTACTTTCGTTCAAGTAATAATTTAGTCCATGAATTTTAGTTTGTAACGATTTAGTCCCTGTAATTTCACTGAGATAACAATTTAGTCTCTGAACTTCAGCTTGTAATGATTTAGTCCATATAGTTTAAAATTTATAACAATTTAATTCATATCGTAAAAAAATTTATTAAAATTAAGTGTCAAATTTTATCATATAACAATTTAATATTTCTAATTTATAAACATGTTTGGTCCCTCTATGGTTTATCAATCTATATATATATAGATATATAAAAGAAACTTAACAAGAAAACTTCACGATAAGAACTAAATCATTACCAACTTTAAATTACAATGACTAAATTGTTACATGTTAAGGTTCAAGGACTAAATTGTTACAAATTTGAAAGTACATGAACTAAATCGTTAAAGTTCAGGAACTAAATCGTTACTTTAGTGAAAGTACCGATCAAAAGTATTTTTTAACCATGAAACTACTTTTAAGGTATTTGGCATTTAAAGAAAAAAAAAATCGTTGGGTGACTTTTTAGAATGATACTTAAAATTTGATAATTATTTATTTACTTTTTACAATAAAATATCTATTCTATCGTTTTTTTTGGGCAATTTTTTATTCTACTTGTCAAATACGTAATGGTGTTCAAGTGAGGAGGCGAAGTAGTATTTTAATTTTTAATTGGGTTCGTCATTTTCGAAAGCCACTAATTTGACGGAAGCAATTTTTAAGATAAAATTGAGATTTCTTAGCTTGGTCACCTTAAAAGTACTTTGAGAGAAAACACTTCAAGCTAATTTTTATTGGGTAAGAATTTTTAAAGGTTGAAGTAGTTGTGCTTTTGGTCTTTTAGACAAGGGTGTACCATATATTTGGCAACCATCTATAAAAACACTTAAAAAAAAGTACTTTAAATAATTTTTCCCGTGGTCAAAATCACTTCATTTTTTATTGATATGTTTGACAAATTAAGAACACTTTAAAATGATTTTTAAGACATCACTGGAGTGGTGATTTTAAAATATCAATTATACGTAAATCTCCTTTTTCAAAATTACTCATTTACCATCACCGCCAAATATCATTCCAAATCCACCCTCAATTAGTGTTTCTTTAAAAAAGCAAAAAAGCGTATAAGAAAAGTATTTATCTAAAAATTATTACTTTCAAAACTTACCATTCTTAAAAAAAAAAAAAACAATCATTTATTTAGTTCAACGTCGAATCTTTGGCTTTTTTAGTAACAAGGATATATGTCTCAACCAATTAAGCTATGATTAGGTTGACGAAATAAATTGATTTTTGTCCTGGGGGAGAACCACGTACGTAACCCATATTTTCAAAATAAGTTAATTAAAAAGGAAATGTATAATAATAATTGAATGGGGTGGTAAATCAAAGAAAAAGTGTAGTTAATTACCTGAGCCCCATCCATGAGAGGCATTTCCAAGTCCATAAGAACAAGATCAAAAGAAGCCCCACATTGGAAAGCATCAACTGCTGCCTTTCCACTTTCAGCTGCTTCAACTTGTTCAACATTCAACTTTCTGAGGAGAGACATGTGAATGTATCTAACCACAGCCTCATCATCCACAACCAAAGCACTTATTATTTTCTTCTTCTTCTCCTTCTCATCACCACTCCCCCAACTACTCCCTTCTTCCATCTTTCTGATTGCCTAAAATATACGCGCACGTTGAAAAGATAAAAGAAACCTAACAAGGGTTATGACAAAAACTGTTTCATTTTTTTTGTTCGACTCGTGGAGATTTGAACCTCCAACTTTTAAATGGGTTATAAGTATCAGGACATAACTACCTCCAAAGCCTTAAAAAGAAAGATTTAGATAAAATTAGTCATCACCTGGAGATAAGAGGGGTATATGTGGGAAAAACTTTAAAGTGACTTTTCATAAAATAAAATAGTCATACAATTAGATGCATACATATATATGAATTCAAAAATTAAATATGTATATATAGAGGGAGAGTCATGTTAGATTTGATTAAGAAGTCATGCAATTGAGATTTTTTCGGAACTACCTACTTTGATACCCCAAATGCCTCATGATTTTTTTTTTTTTTTTTATTACCTTCATAATATCACAAGTGTTGTGTGTTGAATTAATAGGATGGATTATGCTAAAGGGACGTTTAATTATTTGGAAATTGTTTTCATACAAAATATAAATTTTAATATCTTTAACTCAGAAAATTAATTGGTAATTTTTTTGGGTAACGAATTTGGTATATTCATTTGGACGAAATTGCCCCTAGTATTAAATCATTTTCCTCGTGCGAGTTTGAAGAGTTTTTTTTTAGTAAATAACAAATAACTAAAAACTACGAATGTAATCCAATATAAAAAAAAATATTTTGAATTCAAAGTGGTTAACTAAAGTTTAAAAGAAGTGGAAGTTTCAGGGTTAGAATTCAAAATACAAATCTAAAATAATGGAATAGTTGATATAAAATTAAAAAAATGTCATTTAATTGGTGAATTAATTAAAATTAAAACCCAACAACTTTATATGTTATAGTGAAATTAGCGAGCATAGCGCTCAACTATAATTGATATATATCTCAAATTAAAAGGTTGTGAGTTGGGTCTCCTATCTACGTACTAAAAAAATCTTCTTTTATATTTTGGGTAGTCGTAAGACATATGGGACCACTTTTTTTTTTCATGTCAATAAAGATAAAAGAATGTTTTTAGACTGAAATAGGGTAGAGCGGCTGTTTTATACTCTTTTACGGTACTTTTTAGATTTTGATTTTAAAATATAGTAGGTTTCCTTGTTTTCAACTTTGGTTTTTATATGAAATATGGATTAACCTAGATACATATACCATATGTTGATGCCAATTTTTGGGCGGGTGCTATGTAGGTGCCACTCGAGTACTGTCATACACGTCTTCATTCTCTAGCTCAAACTTGACCTTGCACACAGAAATCTAATACCAGTGTGGTGCTCTAGTATCCCTCCATATCTGTGCCTCTATAGAGGAGATAGAATGTCTTAGACTGTAAACACTTTTACAAGGTATAACTCTATATATAGGGTAGTGGTAAAAAGAAATCCTATATGAAATATTCAGAATCCGTTCTTCAGCTATATGTTATTGTGCGCGTAGCCTTGCTAGTGACCTCTCATAGTTGTTGGTGTTGTATATAGGGGGTCATTCCTATAAGGTGATCCAGCTAACTTCAAGGAAGGGCAACTACGCCGATTACAGGAAAACTATCCGAAAATGTAAAACTTTCCCTATAAGGTGATCCACCTATAGGGAAAGTTTGTACATTTTAAGATAGTTTTATGCATTTTAGGTGCATGGAGCTAGTATAATCTGCCTGTAACAGGCGTAGTTCCCCTTCCTTGAAGTTAGCTGGATCACCTTATAGGGAAAGTTTTACATTTTCGGATAGTTTTCTACATTTTACGTGCCATGGAGCTAGTATAACCTGCCTGTAATGGGCGTAGTTCCTCTTCCTTGAAGTTAGCTGGATCACCTTATAGGGAAAGTTTTACATTTTCAGATAGTTTTCTTGTAATAGGCATAGTTGCCCTTCCTTGAAGTTAGCTGGATCACCTTACGGGGAAAGTTTTACATTTTCGGATAGTTTTCTTGTAATGGGCATAGTTCCCCTTCCTTCAAGTTAGCTGGATCACCTTATAGGAATGACCCCCTATATACAACACCAACAACTATGAGAGGTCACTGGCAAAGCTACGCGCACAGTAACATACAGCTGAAAAACGGCTTCTGAATATTTTATATGGGATTTCTTTTTGCCACTACCCTGTATATAGAGTTATACCCTATAAAAGTGTTAACAATCTAAGACATTCTATCTCTTCTGTAGAGTCACAGATATGGATGGGTACTTTTTTAAGATGCGACAAATAGGTACGAAACACGTAGAGTAATTAAAAAGAGAGAGAGATGAAGTTCGATTGATGAGATGAGCAATAGCTGAAACATATCCACCCCAAAAATATATTGGCAATGTTTTCTAAAAACGCAAGGCAAGAGCAACACTCAGTCCATTCTATTGAGGCGTACCCATTCATGAGGTTTGAAATATAATTCCACTGCTTGCTAAGTAATTCTTCAGACAATTAAACTCTGTTTGATTATCACTACGGACAATTTTCAGTACCTTGTGAGAAAATTGAGGTCAATAAATGACATAAACATGTGAAAAACCTCTCTTTTATCAATTAAGATATAAACCCATATAGCCCCAGAGTAATCATCCACCAAAGTTACAAAATAACGTGTACCACAAAAAGAGTGTTCATCATATATGTGTTGGGTATTTTTCACATTGTGTGAAAAGCCCAATTTTAAGGCCCACATGAGCCATTAATGTTTTAGAGTTATATATATATATATATATATATATATATATTATTAACCTAGCCGCACGACACAAGGAGAGAGAGAGAGGGAAAAAGTTGCACGCAGATCGAGGAGAGAAAACGAAAAAGAAAAAGGGAAAAGTAATTCATTCCGTACAGTGACGTTTTTTGCACGATCGGAGGTCGATCCGTGGTCCGATCGAGGTGAGATTTTGACAGCTTGTTCGTAATACGAGGGTCTTCAATCTGGACGGTGGAGATTTCTTTTGGAGCTGCCTACAGTAAGATACAGTGGGTAGTTGGTGCCACTTTCTAAGTGAGATCTTTCTAATTTTCTTCCCCAATTTATTCCCTTTGTTTACCGAGATTTATTGTCTCGAGATATTATTATTGTATGCCTCTAGTTGTTGCTAGGGAGAACTTGGTGTACCCATTATTGATTATAGTGGAGATTTTGA